TAATTTTTTGTGACCGTTTTATATTTATATTTTCTTATGTATTTTTGTTTATAAGACCGAAAATTATTTAGATTCATGAAGGAAAATAAGAAATTCATAAGAAATTCATAAGAAAATATAGAAATAAAATGATTCCCGAACGGTTACGAAAAAATAAAAAGTTGTACGCTCATTTACAGAATTTATCATATAAGTACGTATCTCAAAATTCATTATTAAAAAGCATTATAAAAAGCGACATTAGTAACCATATGATGATCGTATACCATGTGCTCATACAATAACCACTCTGTCTCTGAATATCAATGCGATTTCGGACAAGCTTTACGTTGTGAAACATGTGTCTCGTAATCATTGAGGCGAATAATTTGAAAATATATTACTCTTTCTCTCTTTATCATATCTCTCTTTCTTTCTCTCTCTTTTTCTCGGTCTCGCTGTCACCATTATTACCACAAAGCACCCTAGTGGCTTCAGGACATTAGTGTCGCACAGGCATGTAACCGCAAAAGTAGCGAATAGACCCAGCCACCATTATAAATGCATTAACTCTCCCCTTAGTTTTCGTCCTCTCCTTCTATGTGCCATTTTTTCGCTTTTGGCTGTTACAGCTGAACGTTCGTGAGTCTTCGTCTTCAGTGAATCACTTGATGATAGTTTATCGCTTTTCAACTCGCTAATCGTCGAGCTTACCTCGTTGCATGCTTGAAAAATATTAGTAAATTGATTGAATTTCGGGTTTAACTTTTAGAACATTCGTTACTGAAGGCAAAAATGAAGAATAAACATGACAATAGGTATTATAGTCATTATTTTCATTATTATAGCGAACATTCGCCACTGAAGGTAAAGATGAAGAATAGACATGACAATAAGTCATTATCTTCGTTATTTTATCATCACTAATTTCTTATAAATATTAAAATACAATCGAATGAGAAAAAGAAAAAATGTGGAAGAAATAATAATTTGTCAAGCACGGCGACAGTAATTTTCGAGTCGATTGACGTTCGTAATACTCGGACACGTTTCAAGTCTCTTGATGTCGAAGGGCATCGCGTAAGTCACCCCAAAATTTCTCAGCAACACGTCACTTCGATACTCGACAATGACGACGAGGAACGCGCCGCTCGGAACGATGCGATCGATTTTCAGGAGTTTGTCGCCGTAAGAAAGGACGGGAATTTTTTTCAACGCTGCCACGATCTAGAGAACTGCACGATCATTAGGATAGAAGCGTGATGGAAGCGATCGTTACACTTTCTTCGCCAATCTCCAACCCTTCTCTCATCCTCTTTTCTCATTTCAGCCGAGCGAGATCAAGCAGCAGCCCCTCGAGCACCTCAGGAGCGATAAATCAATGACTCTTCTCGTCTCTCTTTCTTTCTTCCTCGTCCCTACCTCTTCGAATCCCCCGTTCCGTACTTCCGGCCGCCCTAGCTTCTAGCGGACGACTATAAAAAGCCAACGGGCAATTAAGGGTGTTTTAGAGTGGCTGCACTCGAAAATCGCCGGCCAACCCCAGTCGAAAGTGGGGGAATTAAAAAACATTACTCATCATATAATCGCACGAGCGGTTCTCGACACTGTCTGTCACCGTCGCTCTTTCTCCCTTTCCCTCTCTTCCTCTCTTTCTCTTTGATTCTCGCGCTCGGACACGCTCGTCCTTCTTGCGCCTCCGACGTGCCGGCAGAAAAATGAGAAATGATCGTGGCTCGATTCAGAGGTGCCTGTTTAAAATTCATGAACGATTTTACTGCAACCTCCCCTATCGCAACCCGTCACAAAAGGGCGAGCAGAGCCATATCGAGAGAGGGGGAGGGGAAAAATAAAGAGAGAGAGACAGTGAGATTGTGGCCCACATTTGCGACTATACATCAGCACAAAATCGCGAGAGAACGAGTGTGAGAGAGAGAGAGAGAGAGAGAGAGAGAGAGAGAGAGAGAGGAGAGAGGGCTCGCACCCCACGAAATATATTAATTGTCGAATTTTCCGTGCGAGCTGCATATCCGTTAGAGCCGCTTTGTCCCTTGCCAGGCGCGGATCTCTTGATTATTAATTACTCCGACCACCAAGTACACCCCACTCTACCCTCCTCTCCTCGCGACTATTACCCTGTAACATTTCCAGTTGTGTTTCGAAGGTACGATCTTTTTTTTATTGCGGCCGCAATTTTAACAAAAAAAAAAACTCTAACAAATGTACACGTTGTGCCGGTGCCCGTTAATTATCGCTTGAATTTCATGCGAATCGTTGAATTTTTATCGAGTTGAGAGACAAAGTTGGTTTGATTTATCATTGTGAATAAAAATGATTCCCAAAGATCTCAAAGGGAGGTACAATTCACCGACGGAATTTCTAACATTTAATTAGATGTTGATATCAATAAAATTAACTGATAATTACTAATAGCTTCTATTTAATTATCTCAATTAAATTTTGCATCTCTGATCAAAATTATGCAATCTGTGATCATAATTAATTTTACAACGATGTCTACAGATATGTATTGACTGATGTCTTAAATTGAAGTATTTAGACGTAACCGCATAGCGAAAATTATTTAATAATATTCAAGTAATCTGGTATCGATTGACGTTCTCGTGTAATAACACAGCTGTATATTTATGACTGAATTAGTTACGAGCTACAAGAAACAAGGATAGCATATACGTACACACACACACCATATATATATATATATATATATATATATATATATGTATAATTTTTTTCGAAAGGCGACAGTAGCGGGGGTGGCAAAAACTACTTGCACTTATCGAGCAAGAACGTCGGATGTAATTCACGCCTCACCGCCACGGAAGGGTTGTAATTTTCTTGATATTATTCATGAACGTTATGGCAGGGTGGGTCATGTAATATAATAGCCTTTCACAGTCGTTTTCTCTTTACGTACATTTTTCTCTGTCTTATTCGCCTCATTTCGTATTAAGCCGCTCGACGCGGCACTTTAATTTATTTCTCATATAAAGGGCGAGTTCCCCTAATCGCGTGAGCACGCGTTCTTATATCGTGTTTATCAAACGAAAAAAGTTCATAACGTTTTCGATTATTATACGAAGGTTACAAGTTCGATAATTCGTAAAATGTTGATATTTATTAGATATCAAATTTTTTTTCTTTTCATTTTTGTCGTTTCATCAATAAATCTTAAGCACGACAAAGACTAAAATATTTTACAATTTTTATTATGAAAACGTCATAAAAATAATTTTTATTGTCAAGTTTTTCTACAATAATATATTATAATATGTCTCTTCTTAAAAATATGCAGAGAGATAGAGAGAGAGAGAGAGAGAGAGAGAATTTTTCATGTTTAATTTGAAACGGATTAGTAAAATGTATAAACAGTTATAAAAGCATGAAGATTATGATGATATTTTCAGTAAATGCAAATGTTGTTATTTCATTTTCATAATTCCTCATATTTCATTTGTTCTCAGAAATTGACTTGAAATTAACGGAAGATTCTCTATCCATATCTTCATAATAATTCGAATAATTATTTCGCTCTGTATGTGTTCGCATGACGTATGTTATTTTCTTTTCATTCCATTTTCTGACACACACATTACATTTTGTTTTTAGTTAAAACATAAAACCGCACATGCATGTGCTCCATGCACGCCATTCGAAGATTCCGTTGGACGTAATCTGCTTTACTGTACGACCGATCGCGCGAATGTAATTCACGTTTCGATTCTGTGAAAAGTATCGTGATTTTCGCGGTATGATTTGCAATGTTATCGAGCAATAATGTTCGGTTAATATGGCCTTCGGCAGAGAATTTCACCTCCTGTCTCCCTTCCACAGCGTTCGTTTCGTCCCCGTTATACGATATCAACCCCCCCAGACCACGGCCTGTTGATATATCTCTGTCTCGTGCGCGTCTAAGGGCGCTTTTACGTTCGCAGGTGCGGTTCAGGTATATGTATCTGTATATATGTATGCACGTATGTGTGTGTGTATATATATATATATATATGTGTGTGTGCGTGCCATGATACGCGATGATTAGGCACTGAAACTCCACGGGCTATTTGTTAGTATAATAAGCTCCCGGTAGTGTGGCCAACGTAACCACTTGGCGGCACGCCACCCCGTTTTAGCGTAATTGTCCCAGATCGAGATTTACATACGTGAGGAGGGTGAAGAGGGGCACTGCGAGGGAGGGAAGAGGGCCGATCCCAGGGAGAAATTGCAGAAAGCTCGTGATTGCTTCGGGTGGCGGTGCGGTGGCCTCGAAAGCCACCAGTCGATCCTTATGCTGACGAAATTTCGCGCTACAAACGAAGGAACGAACAGCTGAAATACTTGGAACGGATCTTATCGTTCGCTATTAGAATCTGGAAAACTACCGTGGAACTACACTATGCTCGCATGTGCTTCCGCCGATCAAACCTGATATCGCGATATCGTAGCTCGCATGGGCCCACCGTTTGACATTGGTAGGCCTAACTTAGATCTATTTTGCCGATATTACGTTATAAGAATAACGATCGCTCTGATGTAAATGTCTTGAATAGCCGAGCCGTTTTTCATCGCTGGTCATTACCGACGTATAGCCTTCATCAAAAATACTGAACACGTCAGTGGATTTTATGATTCTTTTTTAGTGCCAATGTACGTCATTCTTACGTACGCGAGTATGTATACTAGATTAGTTTAAAAATATCAACGTCGTCAATTTATTTTACAGATATTTTACTCGCACATTATCTTGTCATTACGATTTTCATATTACATAATTGATACATTTCTGTAATATAATATAAATTTTGTCGAATTTCGTATTTATACTGAATTTATGCTTCACATCAATGTATTAATAATGTTTTTTTTTTTTTTTTTTTTTTTTTTTTTTTTTTTTTTTTTAAAGAAATCCTTAACTCTTCCAACGAAGATAATTTAATGTAAATAAATCGCGAAGACTTTCGTACGGAATCGTGCTCATATGCTTGCTTCCTTTGTACTTTCAGAACGAAATGGAAACGACAAACGATCGTGGGTTTCGAGATCATGGCCGAAAATAATTTCGCTGTTGCCGCCTTCCAGCATCTGTACAGCGGCAGTACCGTTCCCGCACATCCTGCCGCAGGACGGTACTGGCAGTATCCCAGCGCGCACGCGTTACCCGCGAACGGATTCTTCTATCAGCCATCATCGGCGGCGACTCTGCAAAAACCGCTTCCCTACCGTCTGTATCCACCCATGATTCTAGCGGGGCCAAGTAATCCTCTTGGTTCTTTGACTGCGAGCTCCAGTCTGTCGACTCTCAGCAACTATTACAGGGACAGCCCAGAGATGGCCGACGGCCGGGATACCTCGAGGAAAAGGGACAGGAGCAAGAGCCCAGAATCGAGAGACAGATCGCCAACTAGAAAACCGGCAAGACTGTATCCGCTGCAAATGATGCAGGCGGGCCCTAGCAATCCTCTTGGCACGCTGACCACCTCCAATCTCTCCAATATGAATAACTATTACAGAGGTAGTCCGGAGTTGATGGAAGGAAGAGAGAATATGGACAGGTCGAGGAAGCAAGAAAGGAGCAGCAAGAGTCCGGACTCCAGGGACAGATCACCCATGAGGAAGGACGTTAGATCTTATCCCTCGACGATGATCCAGGCAGGTCCTAGCAATCCTCTCGGACCCCTCGCGCCTAGCTCGAATCTGAACAACTATTACAGAGACAGCCCTGAGATAATGGATGGACGGGAAGGTATGAATCGAACGCGACAACGTGACAGAAGTCAGAGTCAGGACAGATCACCTGTGCAGAGAGAGGATAGTCCTCGAAGTGTAAGAGCTGACAGTGATGAAGAAAGCATACACGATATCTAGGACATGGAGATTCTTGGTACCGGCGTTGACACGTCGGAAATATTGCATGAGGAAGACAGGTATGTCCTGCAGGATAATTAGGAAACGTGTGGAATGGATTGATTTCCTTACGATACGTCATTTCGAAATAAATGTACTAATAGCGAACGAAGAGTTAACATCAGAAAATAGGAAAACTATCAAGGGATGAATAATCCTTTTGAAAATGTATTCGTGTGAAATCGGGCAGTTATTGAAACATATGGGCAAGCTTGAGAATACTGATTGATGCGATAACTCATTACGAGACACTGATACGGATAATTAAAATCAAATTCACTTAACTAGCATTAATCAGTCAATTTCGAACGAGATAACGAAGTCGCTCAAATTTCAGCAGCTATTGCATTAACAGTTCATAAATAAACAAATCGTATCCATATGGAGAATTTGTTGGGAGATTGATCGATAAAAAAAATTTGTATAATCCTGGAAGAAACGCGCTGTATATATACATATATATCCTTGAGAACTTGTATCGATCTACGCAGCTATCACGACGAATCCAAACGAAGAAGCGAATGCAGCTGATGTAACGAGACTGTTTAAGAAGCTATATATCCAAGTGTATGCAAGCATCGAGGAGAGACTACGTAGAGATTATTTTGTCGCAGTTATTTGAAAATCTGAAGAGAGCAGAGCGAGAAGAGATTCAGGATTCGCGAGGTCTGAAGCGAAGTCAGCGAAATGAGATGCGAATGGAACGGCACGGCGGCCGATTTCGTGAGGTAGAACAGGAAGTGACATAGCACGGGACGTCCGGGATTTTGTAGATAATGAGAGCGAACAGGAAATATCGTGCGGTTAACCGAACTTCGTGATTTGAGCGTTCAGTGAATAGCGGGTTACGGTGAAACAATATATTCAACGTTGATACGATCGGGCGTGTAGAGAACGGACGAAAGTAAAAATCCCGTGCTTCACCGATACATTATCCCTCGGACAAATGGAGACTCATTATTACTCATTCATTGTCCATTCATTATTTTATTTTCCACTTCTTCGCATGCAACGTGTGATTGGTTCCTCGCTTGAAAGGTACTTGTTTTCCAATATTTTTACAATTTACAGAACAAAATTATTTACAGTTCCACTTTTATTTTGATCACAGTTATCGATAATTACACTGTAATAATTAATTAATTTGAATTTAAATATTGATTAATTTTATTGCGAATTTTATTGCTCTCTTTAATATTTATAAATTAAATTATATCTTTACCGCGAAATAACTATAACACGTGCACATTTTTTAAACATCGATCGATGATTTCCTTGCAGAATAATTGTAAGAGTTTATACAAGCGAATAATATTTACATTATCAACAAATAACTATTTCGCTGTGCCAAAAATTTATATTCAATTCTTTTAATCTTACAATTTTACATAAAATTTTATAAATTCTCGCCTCTGATGCCGAGAATGAAAGAACTCGCTCATCTGCAAAGAAATCAATCAATATTCATGACCACAGCGATTTTTGGCTTTCAAAATTTATCACATGCATTCAATTCATCGCAGCATGGATCGATAGCATGATTCGTTCGTATAGTAACCGATATGAGGCTGTAACATGCCGATTAGAGAACCCGGCTAGATTGGACGGTTTCGTATGTCGGAGGACGATTACAGTCGCGCCAGAATACGGGCCAATCGCGAGCGAACGTGAATGTACAATTAATATGACATTAGAGGGGACCTAGCCGCGGGGGAAGAAATCTAAAATGACACGAAATTACGTGGTGGTCACCACGAACGACAAAAAAGGACCGTGCGGGAGAGGGCGGCATCAGGGCATCGAACATGAAGAAGGGGGCTCGACTATTCAAATAACTGCGTTCTCCGTGTCGGCGAAGCGAAACCGGCATTTTACCTGCCGTTCTTCCTCGAGAAGACGAACGAATCGGTCGACTTAATTAATATTGACGAGATCTGAGTGACGGTGATGGTCCCGAAAATTGCACGACATTGGCGACCGGTAATTTGCGAACGACAACGGAGGCGGACTCACATATTTTCTTCTTTCCTAGAAAAAAAGATCGATAGTTCTCTTGATCGTGGTAACAAGTGCCGTCGTTGTAAGTAAAGTTAAATGCGAATTACGAATGGTAGAGAATCCTCGTCATACCATTGATATGAGTCCTTATTGTCGTTGAACGATACAGTGATACGTGATTCGCACGATAAACGACGATGACGATGCGACATCTGCCTCAAACGATGATTACATGTGTTTTCTCATGAAACAATTGCGCGAAACGTGTTCCATTCTCTTAAGACCAAAATTATATCAAATCTTACGCTGATTATTGCTGAGATTTTCCAGAAACTATGACGAGACTGGACACGAACTGACACGAACGAATTATACATTGATAAGTGGTAAAGTCAGTATTTGAGAAGCAAACTATCTAATTAGATGACAATTCTCACGTCGGTATGATCGAGGGATTAAATCGGATAGTGGTTTTCTCTAAGAGATCACAAAAACGCTATAAATATTTCTTACGACCGGAAAACTTTAGTTTTTTACGATCGAACGTTTTCGTCTGCAAAAATTTTCATAGCAGCGAGTCGGTTCCTTCGACACGAGCGATTTTCTAACTTCGGTCTCTCAAAGATGAGCTGCGCCATCCACTTTGTAAATATAACGGATGTACCATCCGCGCGTAGATGAAGATATACGAAAGTTGTAAATATACGAAGATGGGAGCTTGTAGACGAGGGTGAAGACACGCGAGGATGGAACGAGTCCGTAGGACTTAAGCCAAGATACGAGATACGAGATATTTCAAAGTATTTTTCAGAGGCGCCTTCTCGAGAGATCCAGCGTCGTGCGACGTCTCTTTTTTTTTCACCGGCAAGAAAGCGGCGTTTTCGATATTTCGATGACACGGCACGCGGCGCGTTCGATAAGAACATACCAGTATTATGAATGTATAAAATTAGGCTGTACAACGTGCGAGAGAGTCTCCCGTGCGGAAACGCAGATGCGTCGTCGGGGAATAACGGCGGACGTCGACCCGCACGGCGCGTTTAGTAGTTAAGTAACGCAGCAAGAAGTATATATATATATATATATATACTTAGAGTATATAAAAACCATGCTTTGTAAAATAATGTCTGTATAGCGAGAATTATTATATTATATGGAAAATATATTATACTGAATTTAACGTGTTTTGCGTTCTTCTTTCGGAGCCATCACACCGAATGCTTTCCTTCGTGGAAATCTCATTGATTGATCATAAACAAATTCTATTTTTTTTTATTTATTTTTATTGACGTTAATAATGCTTCGTATCAGTCTACAGTATGTGTTTTACGAATCTTTTCTGAAATTTAAAATCTCAACGTATCTGACATTTCTTAACGAATTTTTCTGCAATTAAAATCTCAACACTTCAAATTTCTTTTTCCTGCAAATCTTACCAAAGTGTGTAATAAGAGCTTTTATATATGTACGTGATTTAATTTCTCGCGTAAAAATAACATTATTATATTATACGTTTAAATATGCAAATTCATTTTTGTATGCAGTTATTTTTACATGAAAAATTAAATCACATACACACACACACACACACACACACATACATATACGTATAAAGTCTCTCAATTATATATTTGGATTTGCAATGTAATATTAGACTTTTACTTTCTCTAATTAAATTATAATTATATGATAGATTTATCGAGTGACTCGTGTATGAAAAAATAATAAAAAAAGGCAATTGGATTAGTTCACGCGAGAAAAATCCAGTGCTTTGTTCTGACGTTCCGACGAAGGGACGTTCCGACCGTCGGAGTCGAGATCGCTGTCACGAAAGCGCCGACCCTTTTCGTTTAACGTTCAATTTGCAACTTTGTGCATAATGTAAAATGACTAGATTGGCGTTTAGACGAATTGCCCGAGGCTCCCAGGACATTTTCACGCGATGATGCATATTGTAACGTCCGCGATTAAGTGAATGAGCGCTTGGTGCATTCATTTTGCGACTATTACGGTAAAATTGCACTCATCAAACTATTTTGCGCAATTCACATTTTATCCAAGAAGCTCAGATTCGAAAGTGAAAGTTACATTCATGAAAATCGAGAGGTTAAACATAATCGTCATTCAAAAATAATTTCGAATTTCTCGTGAGCGGTAAGTGGTTTTTACTAATCTATCTTTTTCTTTTAAACTCCACCAAGCATAATAATTAAATAATTTCAGTCTTTTTTGAATAAAACATCAAATTATTATCCGACTTATTGCAGGGTTTATCTTTCGTATTCTTTCATATCATCTGGACTCATCAATTAACATGATTAATTAGTCGAGTCAGTAACTTTTCACACACTTTTTCTGATCTTTTGGTGATAACAAAACTCAAAACAGTTATTACTCGAAATATTTCTTAATAACAGCTAATTTCATTAATGACATGATGATGATTTTGCGCCACGAAGTAGAAACTTCGAAGCAATTAAAGCTTTACTTTCTACGGCATTACGTATATCTCTGCCAGGCCTCGGTGAGTTTCGCGTATCGTTTTGCTACATCGTTATTCTCGCTTTACAATTTCCGCCGAGCATAAATACGGCAGAGTTTATAACTAGAGAGGATAAACGAAATTTTCAGAATACGTATACGCGTTTAACTTCAAAATTTATCGAATTCAATTTTTTATATTGTGAATGTATAAATATTAAAGTTAATAGCCTGAATATAATGTAAGATGTAAACAATAGGTTTCCAGTTTTTAGATATTTACTTTTTATTCTTAAAATTATGTACAAATCTCGAAATATATACGGGGTAAATTTCCGGTAATAAACTTTCTAAACATAATTATCTAAAATGTCATTCTGCATGAAATGCCAATTACAAAAGAGAAAGAGAATATTTTTGCGTATTCATTTCCGGAGTACATCCCAATGACAAATTTTACGGAAGAACGAGAATCCAACGTATATATCGCATCGTTACGCGAGGTGGTATGGCCCTTCTTCCCGCGCGTGTCCCATTAGTGTAATTTGGCGAAACCCTTATAACGTCGTCGTCGAAGGCGAAACCCGACGAGCGTGACAGTGTGCACGGGGCTTAATCGCGTTTGCTTATTTCCGCCGTTGGCCGGTGCAATTATGTTGTGGAGAACGCGCGCACGCTCTCGCACTCTCGCCTCCCTGTATAAGGGCTTATTTTATTCCTATTAGGGTAAAACGGGTAGCCGGGACGGACGGGACGCACACTACCGTGTACCCACAATTACGTGAAATTAATTTGGGCCCCATTAGCGGTCGGCCGCGCCACTGCCGGGACAACTAACGATTTTCCCCAGCGGCGGACACGGTCGAACGAGACGGTGCCTCTCGTGTCGCAAACACTATTGTACATATTCGAGAGCACGTACACGTTGCGTATACCCCCCGCACTTTTTTTTTTTTTTGCGTCGCACGACAGTGTTATACCTACCGCGAGATGTGAGACCCGCGGAACGAGGGACATATGAAAATTCTTAATCGCGCGTCAGCATCGTTAAGTTACGATATCCACCGCGATATTAATGTTACTGCTACTTACGTAGAGGTGTGCAATTATTTTCCTTAAGAGGCCATAAATTATAGTTAACCGAGTATAAGCTGTACTTGTTGCTTTTTGATTAATGCAAATTTACACGTGTACGCTGCAAAAAATTATCCATCCCTTAACATATTCTTTTCACCATGTATCACGAGCTGCGCTATTGTGAGCAAAGCTCGTGATAAATTAAGTCATAATTAAATCAAAAGCCAATTATAATTTGATAAACGTTCTCCTTTTAAATTCATTACGGGAAGAGTCAAGTGATTAACGTAAAAGTTTAAGGTTATATTATATCGTGAGTAGGCACGCATAGCGCTAAAATAGCTAATCTTCGCCACGCAAGAATTTTTAAATATTTCGATATAATCGCGGGATATTTTGCATTGCGGGTTTGTAATAAATTCCGGAAACGAGAAGATCCTATAAGTAGTTGCTATTTGTAGCTGTCACTAAGAAAAGTGTAGTAATAATAAGAATTAGCGTTATTTTATCACGAGATTTTTT